ACTCACGACAGAAATATTTTTTTAGTAACAGTAGAGGTCCTTGTGAAAGAGTTCATCCAGGGAAGTACTGCCACCTTGCCTATTTCTACCCCCAAGCGGTAAACTGTGCATTACTGCGTTTCGGTTTTAAAGGGTAAGGGTGCTGGTGTAATTACACTCACACGGGACTTGTCAACTTATGTCTCAGGATGAGGGGCGCAGCGGCAGTGCCCGTAAAATCTTTGCTATTTATTGCTCAGAATGGCACTGCAACTGATATGGAGAGACTTGTCGCTTACCACCAGGCGCACGACTTGCTCGTCTCGTCACTTGACATTATAAAAAATAATTTATACATACATACAAACCATACAAATATTTCTTCCGGCCCGGGAATCGAGTCCGGGACCTGTGCGTGGCAGTCCAGTATGGTAACCGTTCCGCCATGAAGGCATTTATAGTATAATGAGACAAGTAGTGTACAGGCCTACCGCTTCATTGAGTTGGTTCCTGAGGTAGCTACGCGGTGCGGGAGGAGTGACAAGAGTTTACACGATTTAATAGCGCTCACCCCGCACGTTCGTCGAGCGTAGTCCGCATCTGTCATGGCAAAATATACTCTATGTGTTTAGGTTTTACGTTTTAATTTAAATGAGCGTCCCGGACACGCGGGCGACATTGGCTTGAATTTGGTCTACGCGGCGGCCCTGGCGGTTGTACTATTCAGAGGCATTTAAATGTTGTTGCCTAGTAAATAGGATTCAGATTCGCCATTAATGCACATGAAGGCCTGGTAACTGGGCGGGAGCCGCGCGAAATTTTTCTCCTCGTGTAACTGGGCGATTACAGTTTTGTCGCGATACACACGGGATAATTTCAACAAGATTTTTCTGACGATATTCAATAGCAAGTTGATTGAAGAAAGTGCCTACCAAATTAGTCAATTGTTCTTATTTGAAATGATAATGAAAAAACTATTTCATTGATAATTGAAATGAAAAGACAAGCCATTTGGCACTTTTTTCAAGCAACTTGCTATTGAATATCGTTAGAAAAATCTTGTTGAAATTATCCCGTGTGCATCGCGACAGTTACTCCTCCGGCACCGCGCAGCTACCTCAGGAGCCGACTCAGTTAAGCGATAGGCCTGTTACCAACTTGCTCACTTTGTTTTTTGCTTGTTGTTGATAGTCGACCTTTACCTTGAAACAGCTGTCCTCGTCCTGCAATCAGCAACGTCACACTAAATATATAATGAAAACAGCAATCGATACGTCCGATAGAAATCACAAATTCATAACAGACTTTGTAAACATGAAATATTAAACGCTAATGTGGTTAATGGCTGTTTCGCTTTGAAGTTTTGACGGGACAAACAAGTCATGCGCCTGATAGTTTCTACAAGTTACACGCCTTTCCATAACAGTTGCAGTGCCACTCAGAGCTTTAAATCGCATAAATCTGAGGGGCACTGTCCCTGCGCCCGTCACCCTGAGACATAAATTGACAAGTCCCATGTGCCTGTAATTTCACCAGCACCCTTACCCTTCAAAACCGGAAAACAATAATGCTGACATTACTGCTTGGCGGTAGAAATAGGTAAGGTGGCAGTACTTCCCTAGACGAACACTTTCACAAGGCGCTCTACTAATACTTACTAACTAAATTGAAGGTATTATGTGTAGTTTAAGATTTGACGGCCTCGGTAGCCGGCTTACACTGTGGCCACATGAGGTTTCGAGTTCAAAATTGACTATTCTAAATTTATTTTAGTTTGGGTGTTCTGGTTGAGTTAATTTTTTAACTGCCTCCGTGGCCGAACGGTTACCATGTCGGACTGCCACGCAGAGGACCCAGGTTCGATTCCCGGGCCGGGAGAAATATTTGTATGGCCTACAATTATTTCTCTCGTGAGTTTGGGTGTAATTTGTGGTTGTCTATATGTGTGTCCATGGCACCCGCGACACAGGGTTTCCCTAGTGCGGGGCTATGTTGAGTGCGTGCGTTATTCTTATAATTTGCTATGGTGCTTCTTCTTCTTAGCGTGTCTGACGTTTGTATTTATGAGAACCAGTCCTGAACGACTGACACAGCGTTATCGGTGGTCACAGGTCCTCCCGTGAGCAGGTGTAGGGACACGCAGAGCTTGATAAAAAAATTTTAGTAGCTGTAGAACTCATTGTGAAAGAGAAGTACTGCCAATTTACCTATTTCTGCCGCCAAGCTGGGGGTGATTCACGTAATCAAACCGTTACGATATCGTAGCGATTTAGTCGTTGAACTGCTTTTTCGTATTCACGTGTGAACGTCAACGAGTCCAATTTTAAAGTCGTTCGATCCAAGTCTCGTTAAAGCGTATTCTGGTATATGAATCGAACTTAAATAGACTCTAAACGACAAGTCATACGTATTCTGCTACAATTTTGACAGTTCTTTCAATAGACTTTCGACGACTAAATGTCAAATTTCACCATCCAAGATGTCATTCATTTGTCATTACGTTTCGATTCTACTCATATCAACGTTCGTTCAAGTGATACGTGAATACCCATTTTGGATAGGACTTCGATCGAACGACTGCGTAACTTCAACGATATTTTGATAGTTTGAACTTACGTGAATCGCACTACAATAGTGTGAGCATTACTGCGTTCCAGTTTTGAAAGGTACGGGTGTAAAAACCGAATAGCTCCGAACTTATTAGTGTAGATGATGCACTGTATTAAAAAAACCCTGATATACTATTTTTATTATTATCGTAGTAATTAGTCCATCAGTACAAATAAAATTAAAGTATGATATGGCGTACTTTTCCAGGGCATTATTAAAATACTGGCCAAAAACACACTCACCAAAGGAGGTGATGTTCCTCAACGAGATGGAGGAGATACTGGACGTGATCGAGCCGGCCGAATTCCAGAAAATCATGGACCCGCTCTTCCGGCAGCTCGCCAAGTGCGTCTCCAGTCCGCATTTTCAGGTATATATCTATATTCCTATACTAGATTATTTTCAATGTCTATTTTGAATAGTTTAGGTTTTATACAATAACTTTCCAGCTTCTACGCTTGAATGAGAAAAATCCACGGTACGATGTACAAATGTTCATTTACAATATAGTTTCCCAACGTGGCCCCTACCAATGGGCGCTGAAGAGTCGTGGGGTATTGGCGGTAGGGACCTCTGAAGCAATTTGGGGGCGTTGATGCTGTCCAAGGGGTGCTACCGCATTCGAAAAAATACTTGAATTAACTATATAAACTACACTACATATGTTTTTTTCCCTGTGTTTTTTGTGTTAAGTTTTTTTTTTAAATCGTGTTTCCAAATTATTTTTCGTGGTGGTGGGCGTTGAATTTTTTTTATCTTGCCTAAGTGGGCGGGCGGTGACCCAAAAAGTTTGGGAACCTATGATTTACAAAGAGCAGCCCCTAGAGTTACGTATTCATTATTGTCAAGGGAGACTGCCTTTCGAATGAGTAGTAGCTATGGCGATTTAACGTTTAATTTGCGTACCTATAAAATAATGATATATCTAATTTGATTATTTACCTCCACAGGTGGCAGAAAGAGCTCTCTACTACTGGAACAATGAGTACATAATGTCCCTGATATCGGACAACGCGACGCACATCCTGCCGATCATGTTCCCATCCCTCTACAGGAACACTAAAAGCCATTGGAACAAGACCATACACGGGCTGGTGTATAACGCGTTAAAACTGTTCATGGAAATGAATCAGAAGCTGTTCGACGAATGCACGCAACAGTATAAGGCTGAGAAACAAAAGTAAGTACAGTACAACTATTTTCTTGGTGAGGTAATTCAAAAAAAAAAGGTGAGGTATTTCAACGCCATATTTTAGGTGAGGTGTGGCGGTTACAACCGCCACTTGCGTCCCGCATCCCTGTAAATTAATATGAATAAAATAAGAACAGGCGGAGAAAATTTTACGCAGATCCGACGTCGGCAAGCGCCCGATGGCGACTGACGGGTCAGAGGAGGTCTTTAAACCGCAGGGCAATTTTCACACTTTGGGATAAATGTGAATTTAGTATCTACAGGGCTTCAATTAAAAACGAAAATTTAACAGGTTCTATTTAGTACTTAAAGAGAAATAATCTCCATATAAAAATTATGTGCGAAATTAGATATTTTAGCCTGTTTTCAGGATTTTATATAATCGGGCGAAGTACAGGGTGGCCCATAAGTCCTTAGAAAAGTAAAATTTGAATTAAACGAAAACGGCGCGCGTGAGCGGTGCAGGGGAAGCGGGGGCAGTAACTTCGGTTTCTGGGAATTTAGTCGCGATGGAGCGTTTCACCGGAGCGGACCGTGCGTTTTGTGTGCGCGAGTTTTATCAAAACAACAATTCGGCAACCGTTGCGAGGCGAAAATTTCGAGAACACAAAGGTTTACACAACTTTGATGACACCCCAGCTCTCCAAACGATTAAGAATTGGGTTGCTAAGTTCGAGGAGACCGGTTCGACGTTAGATAAACCGCGGTTGGGTCGCCCAAGAACATCACGTACGGAACAAAACATCGACACAGTGGCACAATCTATTCGTGAAAATCCAACACAGTCAACTCGTAAGCGTTCCAGTGCATTAAACGTATCCAGGACATCGTTACAACGGATTTTGAAAAAAGATTTACTTATGCACCCTTACAAAATTCAGTTGGTGCAAGAATTAAAAGAAACTGATGCTATTCAGAGAGTGAATTATGCTAATGAAATGTTTAATCGGTTTACTTCGTTCAATAACATAATGTTCTCTGATGAGGCACACTTCCACATTAACGGACACGTTAGTAAACAAAATTGCCGCTATTGGAGTCCGATTAATCCAAAACTTAAGCACCAGAAGCCCTTACATAGCCCTAAAGTTACAGTTTGGGCCGCTATGTCAGCCCATGGCATCATAGGGCCTTACTTTTTTGAGGACGGCAGAGGGCGTGCTGTTACTGTTACTTCGGAACGATATGTGGCCATGATCGAGGAGTTTTTCACACAAAAATTGCAAAACTTTCCAGGCTTTAATGCCCGAACATGGTTTCAACAGGATGGAGCAACTTCCCACACCTCCAATACTGCTATGCCCGTTATCCGTCAACTTTTTCCAAACAAAGTTATCTCTAAGAGAGGAGACATTTCGTGGCCACCACGTAGCCCGGATCTGACTCCAATGGATTTTTTTTTGTGGGGCTACCTTAAGGCTAAAGTGTACGACTCTAACCCGCGGTCAATTAATGACCTAAAAGAAAACATCCGCAGAGAAATGGCAAGCATTTCAGCACTGACGTGCCGCGCAGTCATCGACAATTTCAGAAGGCGTTTGCAAGAGTGTCGTGACTGTAACGGATTACATTTGGACGACGTTATTTACAAAAAATAATTCCCGTTTTTCTAGCTATATTTACAAATAATAATATTATTCATAATGTAATTAGTTTTATTTTAATTAATTTTTTTCATTACTAAGGACTTATGGGCCACCCTGTATTTCCTATCGTGTAACAAATTAGCACATTTTTTAAACAATATCCTTAAGTGTATCGTAAATTTTTTGTGAGACAGTCACAGTAAAAGGAAACATTCTGAGAATTTATGACATTGACATTACAAATAGCTGTAAAAGTACCTCGCTGAGTGAAGAAAAACTTTCATAGATTTCTCACTGATGGTGCTACGGCAAAAAAGTCGTTAAAACAATTGGTTTAAAGATCTGCACCTAACACATGAAAATATTCGTGAGGTCCGTTGGTTCGTTCCGTTGCTAAGTTGGCATAGCGTCTGGCACGTTTTGCTGGGAGACGTATAATATGTTATTATTTTATAAAAAGTTTCCGTGTAATGTTTAGTACCACAGATGTTTAAAGTTTTTATAAAGCTAGTCTTTACAGTCTGTTACTTTTGTATTTTCATACATTATTTACCAGGTCTCAAACTAGGCAATTCCCTGTAGTATACTGTTACTTCAGGGAATTGCCTATTCGTTGCTCTGGTACTGACCAGAGCAACCAAATTGACTCCTGGGCACTAACCACAACACCCAGAAGCAATTCAAAAAAGTTCATTTCTCAAACTGGTCTACCGGGACCTCATCATCCCACTAGTGACATACATAACAGTAACACGAGGAATAAAAATAAACTACCTGTTCTTGGCAGTCGTCTTCAAAAAGTCCCAAATTCTGTATTATATTCTATACTCTTCTATAATGAGATTTCGATTGATATTCAACATTTGCGAGGTTTAAAACTATAGTGAATCAAAAACTTTTTACGAAAGGTTATTATACAGCTTCTGCGTACTTGGATGACAAAAATCCGTGCCAGTGAAACGTTTAGCTCTTGCAAGTAGTCTCGATCTAAGATGTTTAAAGACCAACCCCCTAGAGTTTCTTTTTTTCGGGGGAATCTGCCTTACGAATAAGCAGCTCCATATCTTTCTACATTACTTTTCATTATATTGACCCTCCTTACCGACCCTTAGGGCATACGAGAAGGGCACTATAAAACCTGTGCGCGCACAGGAACCTTATAAATACAAGTTCTGACCCCAGGTCAGCCAGTGTACAGGGTTGTCACATACCTCTATCACTTGACTTCATCCGGTTCTTCGAGAAGCAAGTGCCCAGGTAAGCCGCCCCGGGTGCACGTACAGTACCCTCACTAATTCCAGATGGGTACCAGAGCCGTAGGCACGCTTGCCTCCTATTGCGCATTGCACAACTAGCGGTTGCCACCGCTAAGCCGTCGACTCTGAGTTCACAACCAAATCTCCTCGTTAGTGGCGGAGCTGTAAGGCACGCTCACTTCTCGACGCTGAAAAACGACGTCTCTCCAGTTCCCAATAATCTAAGTGGCAGGAGAGACCGAAAGATATCTAGTTAACGAAGCTGCAGAGTTTAATCAATATGACGATTTCTTTTGTAATTTGCTTACCTATGAAAGAAAGATTATTTGTCTTTGACCAGCGCCCATAGCCCAAACCGTTGGGCCACCTTTTTTACTTACTTCGGTGGCGCAGTGACCCAAAGTGGGTCTTGGCGTCCGACATCAGGTTTTGAGCTGAAGAAGGAGCTATCCTTCCAGCCACTAGCACCGAGGTCCTCGAGATCTATCTGAACTTCATCGCTCCAGCGATACCTGTGATGTCCGACCGGTCGGCGTCCTTTCTGTCGTCCCAAATAAGCCTCTTCGAGACACGGTCTTCTCCCATTCTCTCCACGTGTTCTCTCACAATATTTGTTGGGCCACCTATGTAGTCATAATGAATAAAAATGCTTGGTTTGTGCAGAGAGCGCGAGCGGCTGATGCAGCGTGAAGAGCTGTGGCAGCGGCTGGAACACCGGGCGGCGCAGAACCCCGCGTACCGTGCATGCCCCTCCGGCGACGAGGCCAGTCCGCTGGGCGACGACGCCGCGCCCGACCTTTCCTACCAGCGCATCGAACATGAAGCGCAGGAGGTATGAACTCACGTTACTGGACTTACTACCTAATTGGCTAAGGAAGTACACTGCTCATCGTCGGTGTTTCGTAGAAAGGGCGAAAGCGCCATTTTGAAAAATTTTTCAGGGGAGCATGTTTTAAAGCACCCCTCATGGAAGAATGGCATAAGTGGAGTTACGTCGAACATGTTTATTGCTATGTATCTAATGGTAGATACAGAAAAATATAACCCACATCACATGGGTTATATTTTTCTGTATCGAATGGAACAATAAACGTTTTTGATGGAACTCCACTTATGCTATTTAATACTCTTAGCGCCATTATTTTATTTATTAAAGAATGATTCAAAATTTAAGAACGAGTAGCCAGGAACCGGAGAAAAGGCGATAAAAAGGTGGAATGACGATGTAAGGAGGTCACATCGTCACAGAACAAACGATTTTTCTGACGCAGCAGGCCATGTGGGCGTCGCCCGGGCCACTTTTTTTTCACAACACCGCCACACCTGATCTTTAATAACTTCTGTTATGGCCATGTGGGCTGCCGGCGAGACACTCGTTTCCTTTTCAAAGCACGTCACGCCTGATCTCGAGTAACTTTGCTAAGCTGCCGACGGGACACCTTCAAACTTTAGCAGCCGCGCATTACGCCGCGCAATGATTCCACAAAAAACAAACGGATGTTACCACTTGAGACGAGATCGATATTTGATTATGATCTGGATCACTTAGCAGAAGTGCGGCGAACACAGCCAAATAATTGGCACAACTTATATTTTCGGTCTGCTGATACAACCTTTGACTGGTCAAGACTAGATAAATTGGTAATAAATTTTGATTCCTAATTATGGTAGGCCGGCCACGAAAAATACGTGGTGGCCTACTGCACCTCGGTTTTTGCGGGCTGCCGGCGTTCCACATGACTCGCTGGTCAAAATTCGAAGATACGTAGTGGCCTGCAACAGTGGAATTTTTGTGGGTTGCCGGCAGCCCACATGGCGCTGAGAGTGTTAAAGACTGTTTTAAAATATTTACGTCCTGTTTTAAAATTACATATTATATTTTAAAACAGTCGTGAAAAACTGAAATGTGCTCCCCTGAAAAATTCTTCAAAATGGCGCCCTTTCTGCAAAACACCGACGATATGCAGTAGCAGAGTCTAAGCTCCCGAGTGGAACTAAGCAACAAAACACTGGGTAAACCAGGCTATAAAAAAAAAGGCTGTAATCTAGTCAACATAACATGAGAGGTTAAATATTTATACTATGTATGTGAATATATAAATATATACATTCATATATATTATGTATAGACATTCACATACATAATAAAATTATTTAACCTGTCATCGTCATCATCAACCCATTTATACGTCCCACTGCTAGACACGAGTCTCCTCTCAGGCGCGTTTTAGGCCGTAGTCCGCCACGCTGACCCAATGCGCTAGAAAATGAAGGCCACAAGTAAATTTCCCAACTTTTCCTGTTGCAGGCGCGCAAGCAGAACTACAACGCCAACAAGC